GTTGGATTTAAATGCCTTTATTTTGAGCAGTTTAGAACAGACCTGTGCGATTGAGATAGATGGTGGGGGTTCGGGAGCTGGAAGGTACGCAGGCAAACGACCAAGGTCGAGAGGAGGAAGGTCAGCGCTGGCTGATAAAAAGTGCTCATTGAGTTTACCACACAACTCAAGATCGGACATTGGTACCCCATCGCTGGTAATGTCAAAATTAGGCGCTGGCTTTTCCTTACCGGTGATCTGTCTAATGTAATTCCACCATTGCCTTGGGTTGCTATTTTTTAGATTTTGAATCTTCCTGGCGTAATACGTACGCTTTTGTGATGAAATTTCTCTTTGTACCTTATCCCTATAGTGTAGCCAAACTGCACGGTCGCCGCTGTGGAATGCACGCTGTCTTTGGATAATCAACTGTTTCAACATTGGCGTCATCCATGGTTTGTCAGTTGCATGAATGTTTCAGTTCTGTAAATGTCAGTTGCATAAATGTTTCAGTTCTGCTGAGCATCTGGATAATAACGATTGTAAAACAGTGGTACGAAAGGCGCCATGGTGTCAGGCTGTTTTGGCAATTCCTCAGGACCCCATTCAAAATAATCACACCGGTTTTTGTTGCAGCAACAGAAGAACTTTTTACCCGTATTGGGACCTTGTTTCTTGACCCGCTTCACAGCACACGGTTTGTTGTGATAGCAATTTGGTTTCTCGGCCTCTTTCTCTTCTGCCCACATCCATAAGGAGCAAGGATTCTCCCGACTTGCACACGTAAAATACGGTCGTCCATAAGACTTTTTCAGCATGTCTTTAACTACACGAAACTTCGCGGGCTTTCGGTGACTCTCACATATCGGCTGCGTCAAACCCATGGCTCTCCAAGTTGTCAGAGCTATCTGGAACAGATAACCGTCCTCTTCTTTACATAGAAATCCACAGCTGGGCTTCTTTCCACAAAACCAAAAGGAACCCTTGTCTGTAGTTGAATTGGAAGCAGCTTACTTTACTTCTTGCCTTTTACACAAAAACTCAACCCGCCAAAATCATACGTGTTATGCGACAAATGTTATGGAACAAACGCTATGCGACATGTGTCACGTGAAAAAAGTTATGCGACAAACTTCGCGTGATAAGTGTTATGCGACAAATATTGCTGCAGTTATAGATATGGATGGTTTTTTTGTCAACAAAAGTTTTTTCTCTAAAGAATTGGGTTTTCTGAGTGTTGGAGATGCTACAGCTCAATCCTTTTTCGACACTGGTCTAAAGTGGAACGACCTGACGCGTAAATACCAAAGAGCATGCAAATATGTACAAATTCACATCCATAAATTACCTTTTGGTGTGCCTGTTGGAGTCGATGCCCTTCATCTTTCCAGTCTTCCTAAGATAATCTCTCAGCTGTATGAAAATGTATGTCAGAACTCGAGGCCAACCATTGCGTACAAAGGCGGGATATATGAAAGAGACCTGTTAGCTAGCCTTAACATTCCTGCGCTTGATTTACAAGATTATGGTTGTCCCAAGGCTGAAAAGCTCTTCGACCAGCTGGTCTGGCTCGAAACGTGTGGAAAACACACCGAAAACGCCGTCTACCAACACTGCGCCAAAGTGGAGGTCGAAGCATTTGCGATGTGGCTGGAGAAGATGCTGGACGCTTAAAGAAAAAAACAAAAAACCGGTTCCTATAGGAACCACCAAAATAACAAAAGAATTGAAACGAATACTGTGATATTCATACTTAACTCGCCCTAAAAAAACTATCTCGCAAACACTTACACACATAAAAAAATTTCCTTATAACTATTCAATTTACCTGCATAAAAATTCCCCTGCAAATAATTCACCTACATGAAAAAATTATACACAATTTCGAACTGCTCATATTCTTTCATAGATTTGGTGGCTCTTAAAAGAGCCAGGTTTTTTTTTTCCTTCACCGTAAATTCAGCAAAATCTCCTCCAGAGCAATCGTTTCCTCTAGACATGCCTCAGGATGGTTGTGGTACCTCGTTAGCATTTCAAATATGGCCACTGTTTCAAAATTGACGTTCATCATGGCCCCATGAACTCGCACACAATTGCACAAGCTCCCTACTTCTCTCTTCCTCCTGCTCCCTGTGCCTCGCCCGATACCGCCTATGCCTCTCATTATGCCTTTCACGTCTATCTATATCTGGGTTTTTTCTCTCTTGCTTTCTTGCTCGTCGCCTCAGCTCTTCGCTTCTGCCCCAAAACATCTCGTCACACACATATATGTGCGTCGTCGTGGCGCCAAAAGTGCACAAAACCCGCGCTGGCTTCCAAGATCAAGGTTAAGGTCACACCTACTAAAGGTCAGATCATAGGTGTAACGCGACAAAGGTCATGGAACAAACGCTACGCAACAAATGTTGTGGAACAAACGCTATGCGACATGGAACAAATGCGTTACGCGACAAATGTCTAAAAAGTATATATCTTAAACATGTCAAAAAGCACAGTAAACAGTTGTATACCGTCTCTGATGATGGCTGGTTCAATATTTCACTTACTGGAAGTAATCTACGCTATGAACGTAGCATGCAAGGTTCAAAAAATATGCAATGAACTCTGCTGTGGCTGTAAAATATACGAACAGGATTGTCTAATGATGGACGAACACGAAACTTGGGGAATGCACGGGTTCAAAGCTATAGAACAAACTAACAACACGTCCTCCACATGGAACAAATTTGTGGCCGCTATCAAAATTCTAAATGTAGAAAATCATAAAGATTTCACACAGCACTTGATGTGTTTGCAAGAAGAACCCGATCAAAACTTTGTCTACACTTTACTACAAGTATATCAAGACAATCAACCATTACTACGTATTCTACATGACTTATGGAATCCACAAACTGACCCCCTGGAATCCCATGCTCAATGTCATTTCAGCTCACCGCCAAGATACACCTATTATGTCAAAGGGACAAAGGAAACATTCAAATCCCTCGAAACGGATCATAAAAAAGCGTATCAGAAACATTTAGAAAATAAACTACAAGAACAACTCAATAAATTGTAAAATCTTTGTTCTCAAAAAACATTAGTAGTTTTACAAGACATCTCTGTTAAAAAATCTTTTACAATTTTATAAATAAATAAATGTTTTTTACTAAAAGTGTCTTATGCACAATGTTCTTCGCTCCAATACATTAGGTAGTTCAAAATGGGTTCATAACCAGAAAAACTTCCTCTCAAATCCCCCAAAAAATCAAGTGTTACTTCACGATCTTTTATCAAGTTCGCATATTGTTCTTTCGCACGCCCGTAATATTCCAATTTCATCACTCGAATAGCTTCAGGAAACTGTTTCCTCACAATTCCACGCTTAATCACATGCTCCACTGCCTCCAAACCATGTAGTAACCATCCCTCCTCGTCTGACAACATAATACAGTCGTGTCTCCTCTGACTCAGATGATCGACTTCACAGCCCGGACATTTCTCCTTCAATAATCTCCGAATTTTACAAACAACCACTTCGAAAAACACAGCATTCATCAAATCACAAACGTTCTTCACTTCATAAGATACTTCATCCACAACCAAATCGTTTGGCCCCTCCTGAGAAATACTCATTGCTGCAAACATATCACATAAACTTTCCATTTTAAAATAAATATAAAACTCCCATTTTTATACGTCTTGCTGACGCCATCTCAAAATTGCAAAAGATTATGCGACAAATATTTGCTGACGCCATCTCAAAATTCCAAAAGATCACGCGACAAATGTTATGCGACAATGTTCCAAAAATGACGTCACTCTTATCCCTAAAAAATGCCGACATCATATGGCGGGAAAATCACAAGCTCATTAGTATTCCGCCAGATGGGGGCTATCATCTACTGATAAAACCACAGTTTTGCTCAAATGGGTTTTTCTTGACTTGAAAAATTACCACACATTCGGTCTTCTTGAGTTATACAAGAAAGTTACAAAGAAAGCAGATGGTATTTGTAAGGCAGTGGATATAGAATTTGTGCAGATGGTATTTGTAAGGCAGTGGATATAGAATTTGTAATTTCGTCATCAACATTTTCATTAAATGAAGAAATTCGGGGTGATCTTGATACTGAAGTTGTGGAAATCATCATTTGGAATGCGGTTCTTCACAATGCATGTTGCTCAGCCACAGAATAGATATAGGGCAGAAGCTTCACTCGTGGGTAAAAAGTGTGCCAGAATGTCAGCCGACTTCTGGTGTGGCCGCCATGTTGAAAGCAACCAAAACAGAGGAAATTTTATAGGAGTTAATATGGCGGAATGCGAAATAGAGCCATGCACTAAAAGTGCTCTAGCTTTTCATGTATCCAAGCAAAACTCATGATACTTTGAAATATCATAAAGAAGAGGTTGTTCTTTGATTTAATTGTCACTATGAGGATGAGAAACGAATTTAAGCATGGAATTTGGCCATTGTCATACATCGATTAATTTCACCTTGGTCTTTGGCGAATAGTGATAAACATATAAAGTTATATAGCTTATGTGTGGTTAGTCCGATCGCCGTAGAGTGATAAGTTGGTGATATTTCATGGTGTAGAAAAGGATTAAGGACGTGAATGCCATGAACAATGAAGGAAATGAATAGAGTTCATCGAACCTGTGATCAACTATTCAATACAGTATAATTCAACTTGGCATATTGGCCTGCAATCGTTTAATATAAAATAATATTGCAATATTAAAGAAATTGCTGGACCTACCTTCTTCAAAAATAAATTTTAGGGATAATATATTGACTTGAAACTATTAAAATCCTTTGGCTGTGACTTTACAAATTTGGTATCACAAGTGACAAGGCCTCTTATGACATTATCATGACTGTTCATTGATATTGGAAAAATAGTTTAAAGATCAATGCTTGGATGAATCAAGGAACCTCGAGGCGAGAGCAAGATGGCGGATGTGAGATAATCTTAGCTCTTAGTTCAAACCCAATTCTTTATCTATTTTATTACTATTCTTATTGTTTGTTCATGTGTGTGCTCGTGTCTATTTGTAAGGATGACTCAAATTACCAGAGAGATTGCTTGTAGACGTTTTAGATACTAAACTTGAAGAGAAACTCAAACCAATCTATGATTCAATTGGCGAAGTTAAAGCGAGTTTGAAATTTCTTAGTGACAAGTATGATGCTGTTGATAAACGTGTTGGCGAATTGGAAGTAAAATGTCAAACGGTAGTTCAAGAAAACACATTCTTGAGAAAAGAAGTACTGAGGCTTTCAAGGTCTCTAGATGATGTTTCAAATGAGATTGATAATATGAATCAATATGGCTGCCATGATTGCTGTGAGATTTCAGCCCTTCCTGTTGAACATGGTGAAGACACAAATAAGCGCGTAATTAATCTGGGCTCACAAATGGGTCTTAATCTAACTGAGAGTGATATATCTGTCTCCCATCGTCTACCAAATAATAATTCGTATGGCTCACGACTGAAGCAGGGTAAAGTGAATCCTGTTAGCCAAATACCGAAATTGATTGTCAAGTTTGTACGTCGAGATACAAAAGAACTGTTTTATAAAAGTCGGAAACATCTCGAAGGAATTACAACAAAAGATCTTGGTCTGTCGTGGCTTTCTGAAAATAAGATCTATATATCAGAGAGCTTGAGTCCAAGGAATAGAGAAATCTTTAAAGTGTGTTTGAAATTCAAAGAAAGAAATCATTTCAAATATTTATGGACCCAACAAGGTCGGATATATTTATGAAAGAATAGTGACACTCCAACGAGGATTATCACCTGTCAAGATGACCTAAATAATCTACAACGATCATGATCAAGATAAGTAAACAAATATGGTTAAGAACTTTCTGTGTGTTTAATATAGAATATACTTCAAATATGGTTATGAAGTTTCTGTGTGTTTATTATAAATATACTTTAAATATTAATACTTTATTTAATAACATACTATAAGAAATATGGTTACTGGTACAGACTATCTTGAGGAGTTGCCCCAATTTGATCTAATTTCAAAACTGTCAAACATGCCAAACTTAGCAGGTTTTGATATTGAAAATCATATATTGCCCGACATAAATTTTGATTATTATACCCCACATGAATTCAGTAATTGTCACACAATTAACACTGCTATCTCAAAGGACTCATTCACAGTATTACATTGTAATGTGAGAAGTCTTAATGCAAATTATGACAATTTAATATCACTTTTGACAGATCTTAATCATAATTTTAGTTTAATAGGTATTTCAGAAACAAAATTAGTTGTAAATAAGGAACCTATAGCTAATACTTCTATTCCTGGCTATCACTTTATCTCCCAGCCAACCTTTAGTAATGCAGGTGGTGTTGGTTGCTATGTGAGAGACAATATTGATTTTATATATAACGGAAGTCTCAATCAGAACCACGACAGTTGCAGTGAGATGTTAGTGTGATGAAATGTGGGTGTATCGATTAAGAAAAAAGCTTGAGTTCTTTGCTGGCTTTGAGTCCAGTGTTTAAACTGGGTGAATGATACTTGATATATAGAGCTTCAAGCAACAAGAGTAAGTTAGGTGTGCGAGAATAAATAGTGTGAAGAATTCGAGAGTTGTCAGATATTAAGTTGGAAATAAAAGTGGAAACGTTATTTTCAGCGTCAGTTGGGTTGTTAAGTTTGTCAAAAACAAAGTGTAGGTTTACAATGTATTGCACATGTTCGCAGTTGTGAAAATGTTGTCCAATAGCACTTTTGGTCGGATTGGTATGTTCAGCGAGTCGCGTCTGTAAACGTCTTTCTGTTTTCCCAATATACGTTGCGGAACAGCCAGGACATGTCACCTCATAAACTACATTGGATTTCGAAAGATTCGGAATTTTATCTTTGTTGGAAAGGAAATAAGAAAACTTTTTGTTGTCATAAACAACTATAAAATTTACAGGAACAGTTAGGCATCTTTGTATTTTCTTTATGCAACGTTTAACTAAAGTTTCACCTTGTTTACCAAGGTATGGAATGTGAACCCAAACCTTAGGCCTAGTGTCGTTTTCATCAAAAAAGTTAGTGCGAGGTCGATCCGCAGAAAATTTTTTTTTTTAGTTTGGATATCAATAAATTCCTGATCGCACGAGGAAAGCCATTCCAAGACATAAACATTTTAAGCTTCCGAACTTGGTTATCAAATAGTTGACTGGTACTGCATAATTTTGATGTTCGGTGAAACAAAGATTTAACCCACGCAGTTTTACGTGAAAATGGTTCAAAACTAGAAAAATGCGTGTATTGTCCAGTGTGCGTACTTTTGTAGTAAACATCAGTGTTATCCGACGAAATCAAAATGTCCAAAAAATGAATTACATTATCCGGAAAGGTATCAACTGTAAATTGGAGATTTTTGTCAAAACTATTAAATTTGTCAAGAACAGCAGGAATATCCAAAGATTTTATAAGCACTAGAGTATCATCAACGTATCTTCGGTAAAACCTTATGACACCAGATTTAATTAGATCCGAAACAATAAGTTTTTCAAATTCCGAAAGAATGTTAGCTAGAACAGGCCCCAGTTGCAGACCCCATAGAAACGCCGTCAGTTTGCTCAAAAAGTTGATTATTAAATGAGAACGTGGTTTTAGTACACGAATCAAGAATTAGTTTTTTCAAAGTCTGTTTCAAAAAAGTTGTAGTAATCAATTTTTCTTCAAAAACGCAATCAAGAATGATTTTGACAGTCCTGGTTAGCGGAACATTTGTGAACAGTGAAACAACATCAAACGAAACAAGGCGATAACCTTCTGAGAAAAGCTCTTTAGGTATAGATTTTATTTCCGAAACCGCATGAAATGAATCACGAAGAGTGTACTCGTTTTGGGCTGATGGATTTAATAACTTAGCGAGAAATTTTCCAACGTTATAATGTGGTGTTCCAGTTGTGTCAATAATAGGTCTAAACGGTGGCAAGTCGTTGTAATGTTTGTGGACTTTGGGAAGCCCATGTGTTTTTTTTCTTAATCGATACACCCATATTTCATCACACTAACATCTCACGGCAACTGTCGTGGTTCTGATTGAGACTTCTGTTAAGCTGTCATCATGCCTTGCCAACTTGTATATAAGACCATGTGTATATTGTAACTTTAGTTAGTCTGATGATGATTTTGTAATAAAATCGAAATATTACTCACTCACTTTCTTGTTTGACTCATATTTTGGGTTTCAAGATGCTTATCTTCGGATTATGTTTTGTATTATATTTTTTGAAATTGTCGGCTGGTATTGGTTTTTGGTCTAAGCTCCGAAGGACCGACCCTCAATTACACCAAGTTGCAATTAAATACCAACGGTCTTTGAGAAGATTGGCTAAGGCACAGTTGGATTTGAAGTTTCTTTATGACTGTAAAGAAAATCAAGTCTTTCCGAAGTTCATGCGATGGAAAAACCTCAACCGCATGAAGAAAAGGAATCAGCGACGCTACTACAACTTGCTCCTGACTGATGCTATCAAAGAAAAGAACTCGCATGTTGGCAATTTGACGAAGCAATGTGATGAGCTCAAGCATGAACTATCTGGACAGACTACGTGGATGAAATTCCGACTCATTTGTTTCTCGATTAATCGTTTACTCAGCATCGAGAAAAGTAAGATCACTTCCCGGCACGATAGAAAACTGAACACCCTAATTGAACTCAAGCAAACAGCGGATGCGATCGAAGAGAACCCAAATGACACCATCATAAACTTGTCCGGCCGCACTCTCTCATCTGATGAAATTGTCGTACTAAAACTTGGATTAAGACACAGACTAGCAACAAGACCTAACCAATTTGAAATAATGGCTGTATCGGAAGATGTTTGGGATCAAATCGCTCGCCTCAATAAGTTTAAAGACGGACGCCATATACAAGATAAAATCAAGAATTCGTTACGCTCCTTCACCTACAGTTGCATCGATCTAGATTTGCGCGAGTTCTACATGGCCAGAAAGAAAATCAGAACACTAACTGAACTTTCCAAAGACCTATCCATTTTAAAACCCGACAAAGGTAATGGCATTGTTGTCATGAAACGCAGTGATTATCTTTCCTCTGTCACATCTCTCTTCTCTGACGCTTCACGTTTTAAATTACTTGATACTGACCCAACGCCTACTAGACTAAACTCTCTACAGTCCTTCTTATGCACTCTTTACAACGTGGTGAAATTTCTCAATCTCACTATGACTTTCTTAGACCTAAAGCAGCACACTTCGGTAGAGCACATGGGCTTCCCAAAGTCCACAAACATTACAACAACTTGCCACCGTTTAGACCTATTATTGACACAACTGGAACACCACATTATAACGTTGGAAAATTTCTCGCTAAGTTATTAAATCCATTACCCCAAAACAAGTACACTCTTCGTGATTCATTTCGTGCGGTTTCGGAAATAAAATCTATACCTAAAGAGCTTTTCTCAGAAGGTTATCGCCTTGTTTCATTTGATGTTGTTTCACTGTTCACAAACGTTCCGCTAACCAAAACTGTCAAAATCATTCTTGATCGCGTTTTTGAAGAAAAATTGATTACTACAACTTTTTTGAAACGGACTTTGAAAAAACTAATACTTAATTTGTGTACTAAAACCGCGTTCTCATTTAATAATCAACTTTTTGAGCAAACTGACGGCGTTTCTATGGGGTCTGCACTGGGGCCTGTTCTAGCTAACATCATTCTTTCGGAATTTGAAAAACTTATTGTTTCGGATCTAATTAAATCTGGTGTCATAAGGTTTTACCGAAGATACATTGATGATACTCTAGTGCTTATAAAACCTTCGGATATTCCTGCTGTTCTTGACAGATTTAATAGTTTTGACAAAAATCTCCAATTTACAGTTGATACCTTTCCGGATAATGTAATTCATTTTTTGGACATTTTGATTTCGTCGGATAACACTGATGTTTACTACAAAAGTATGCACACTGGACAATACACACATTTTTTTTTTTTTGAACCATTTTCACATAAAACTGTGTGGGTTAAATCTTTGTTTCACCGAGCATCAAAATTATGCAGTACAAGCCAACTATTTGATAACCAAGTTCAGAAGCTTAAAATGTTTGTCTTGGAATGGCTTTCCTCGTGCGATCAGGAATTTATTGATATCCAAACTAAAAAAAAAAATTTTCTGTGGATCGACCTCGCACTAACTTTTTTGATGAAAACGACACTAGGCCTAAGGTTTGGGTTCGCGTTCCATACCTTGGTAAACAAGGTGAAACTTTAGTTAAAAGTTGCATAAAGAAAATACGAAGATGCCTAACTGTTCCTGTAAATTTTATAGTTGTTTATGACAACAAAAAGTTTTCTTATTTCCTTTCCAACAAAGACAAAATTCCGAATCTTTCGAAATCCAATGTAGTTTATGAGGTGACATGTCCTGGCTGTTCCGCAACGTATATTGGGAAAACAGAAAGACGTTTACAGACGCGACTCGCTGAACATACCAATCCGACCAAAAGTGCTATTGGACAACATTTTCACAACTGCGAACATGTGCAATACATTGTAAACCTACACTTTGTTTTTGACAAACTTAACAACCCAACTGACGCTGACAATAACGTTTCCACTTTTATTTCCAACTTAATATCTGACAACTCTCGAATTCTTCACACTATTTATTCTTGCACACCTAACTTACTCTTGTTGCTTGAAGCTCTATATATAAAGTATCATTCACCCAGTTTAAACACTGGACTCAAAGCCAGCAAAGAACTCAAGCTTTTTTCTTAATCGACACACCCACATTTCATCACACTAACATCTCATGGCAACTGTCGTGGTTCTGATTGAGACTTCCGTTAAGCTGTCATCATGCCTTGCCAACTTGTATATAAGACCATGTGTATATTGTAACTTTAGTTAGTCTGATGATGATTTTGTAATAAAATCGAAATATTACTCACTCACTTTCTTGTTTGACTCATATTTTGGGTTTCAAGATGCTTATCTTCGGATTATGTTTTGTATTATAACATTTAATACTAATAAGTAAAAAATCATATTACAGTAGTTATTTTTTAAGAAATAAGGATAATATTAAAGAAGTATGGAAGGGTATCAAAGAATTAATTATGATTAAAAATAGCAATAATCATACGACTTAGATTCTGCACTTCACTTGGTGGAATTAATATTAGAATGTTAGGGTTTGGAATCCAAGTGAGAATATATACATTTTAAGACCTAACCAGGAACGACTGCGAAAAATGCAGCACAAGGTCCTCTGGTAGGAATCGAACCTACGGCCCTGCGATTCTGGTGCAGCGCTCTAACCAACTGAGCTACAGAGGCCAGCTGTTAAGCTGTAACCGTAAGTTCATGTATATATAGGTAATCGGGTGTGCGGGTTGTGATAAGGTGGACTTCATGACTTAGATTCTGCACTTCACTTGGTGGAATTAATATTTTAGGTCTTAAAATGTATATATTCTCACTTGGATTCCAAACCCTAACATTCTAATATTAATTCCACCAAGTGAAGTGCAGAATCTAAGTCATGAAGTCCACCTTATCACAACCCGCACACACGATTACCTATATATACATGAACTTACGGTTACAGCTTAACAGCTGGCCTCTGTAGCTCAGTTGGTTAAAGCGCTGCACCGGAATCGCAAGGCCGTAGGTTCGTTTCCTACCAGAGGACCTTGTGCTGCATTTTTCGCAGTCGTTCCTGGTTAGGTCTTAAAATGTATATATTCTCACTTGGATTCCAAACCCTAATAATCACATGCCTACTACATTGGAATTAGGAAACTTAAAAGTTACTAACAGGCAAAGCATTGTTAATGCATTTAATGATTATTTTGCTAAATCGGCCCAAATGTTGCTAAAATATACCAGCTGCTAATACTACACCTCTCCAATACATGCCTAACCCAATGTGCAATAGTTTTGCATTGTTTCCTGTTACTCCACATGAGATCTTTGATGAAATCAACAAGTTAGATCCCTCTAAATCAGTAGGTCCTTTCAGTGTTCCAATTAAATTATTAAAAATTATTAAACATTTTTTGGCTGGACCTTTAGCATTACTTTATAATTGTTCCTTTGCTACAGGTGTTGTACCAGACAAGTTTAAAATTGCTAGGGTTGTTCCCATCCATAAGAAAGGAGCCAGAGGAGTTGTTACTTCAAATTATCTTCCCATCTGATTGCTTTCAATATTTAATAAAATACTTGAAAAATTAATGTATAAGAGACTTGTAACATTTCTTGAGAATAGTAATGTATTTTTCAACAGGCAATTCGGTTTTCGATCTAATCGCTCTACTCTACTGTGCATGCTACACTACTTATTATAGACAAGATTCAAAATGCTATTGAAAAAAAACAATACTCATGTGGTATATTTTTGGACTTTAGCAAAGCTTTTGATACTGTCAATCATGAAATTTTATCTAGAAAATTGGAATATTATGGGATGAGGGGAATTGCTAAAGACTGGTTTTGTTCATACCTTGCTAATAGGTCCACAACCACGTACTAATAATATGAAAAAAAATTTCGTGTATGATGGAGCACACCTTTGGAATTCTATTCCTAAAGAAATAAGAGAGAGCAAATCCTTTTCTTCCTTTCGAAAGAAAATCACTACTCACATTGACTGATAGCTAATTAACATAGATGTTAATATTACCTGTATATAGATTACTACCTTAGTTTGTTAATTCATATAATACTATATATCTTATATAATTTTGTAAATAGTTTTAAAATTCTTTTCTGTATACTTTTTGCACGCCCCTCGTGGAAATCAGCTTCGGTTGACGGGGTCAGCGTGTTTAAATAAAGTTTATCTATCTATCTATCAATTTGTAATTTCTTTGGTGATATAAAGTCAGAACTTATGCAATTGACAATGTGGTGTCCCTCAGGGGTCAGTACCTGGTCCTCTTTTATTTCTCTTATACATTAATGACTTTAATAATTCTGCTCCTGACTTGGATTTTAACCTATTTGCTGATGACTCTAATCTATTTTGTTCACATAAGAGTTTGCAGCATTTGGATACAATGTTGAATAATCACTTATATAATGTTAATGAGTGGCTTTGTGCAAATAAATTATCTTTAAATATTGAGAAATCTAATTTTGTAGTTTTTCATCCACCAAAAGAAATCTCAATATTCGATGAACCTTAAAATTAACAATAAAACCTTACAAGAAAAGAGTAGCATTAAGTATTTGGGAATCATTATTGATCACTATTTAAATTGGAAAGAGCATGTATCTCAACTATCTAAGAAAATATCTAGAGGTATTGGGATCTTATCAAAACGCCGACACTTTGTGCCAATTAAAATCTGTTACAAATCTATTATTCCATTATTTACCCCTTTCTGTCATATGGCATGATTATATGGGGTAACACATACTACTCAAATATTCAGCCATTAGTAACTTTGCAAAAAAAAGGCTTTACGAATTATTACGTTTTCTGACTTTCGAGCGCATGCTTCACCCCTTTTTAAGAAAATGAGTTTACTTAAACTGGTTGGTATTATTTTCCTCAACACTGCATTATTTATGTATGACCATAAAAATGGAAACCTTCCTGACAATTTTAACGATTTCTTCTCCTCTGTTAGTGCTAAACATAACTATGAAACACGACTAGCAACTAAAAATACGTTCTCGATACCTAAAGTTAGAACCAATTATGGAAAATTTTATATTAGATTTATTGGTCCTAAAACGTGGAATTTAGTCGACGAACTGCTGAAGCAACTTAGTAGATTGTCTTTTAAAAATGAACTAAAACGAAAAATAATTAATGAATATGAAGATTAATGGCAGTTTCGCCATTAAAATATTCTGCCTTTTAAATCTCTTGAGTGTCTGGTTTTGTTCGTATTGTGTCTGTTTTTATATCAGTTTTGTCTGTGTGTTTGAGCTAATTAAAATATAAATTGTTGTGTAAAAATTCCCCAATTGTTCGTAAATGTATAATCTTGCTTTGAATGGCCGCTTGTCTCGATTAGCCCCAATGGTTATTACAGGCGACCAGCACTACACCTATATGTTTATGTACCCTAATATAATTATTCATGTATTTATAATCAAATAGTGCTCAATAAAAATTTCTTCTTCTACCTCATTTACAAAACAGACAATAAAAGACCTGATTTATCTTAATGACAGTTTAAATTATAAATCTGTGAGATTCTAATATACACTCTAGTTTTCAAAATACATATTAACAGTTTTCTCTACAATGAGGGGAAAATAATCTGAAGATGAGAATTAATTTTCGCTGTTACTCAAGTTTATGTTACATTTAGCACTAATGTTGATGGTAATCATACACAGGAGAAATTACTAAGATGTTCCTACACTGAGTAAATCTATACCAGGCAAGCTGAAAAATCAACTTGGCATGCACAGTAAGAATGCAGCCCACAACCTCTGGTTTACAAGACCAATGCATTCCGGACTGAGCTACACAGTTTGAATGTGCAATATTTTATTAATTTGGAGCTTAATTAGTCTTGCTCCTTCAATATTCTTATCTCTAAGATGGTAAACCTAACAATGCTGATGGTAATTGAAAACAGGTGAAATCATTAAGATGGTGCTTGCTGAGTAAATCTACATGAGATTGGTGTGTTGCAATTTTGGGTGATGAACTGTAACTTCTGGCAAGTTAGTCTGCTCCACTATCAATTGCTTGATACAGATGTGAACAAATATCGTACTCATTACTGTTATCCAGCATGACCAGCAATCAAAGTTTAATATCAAAGTTACAAATTATAAACCAGTTCTGGTAAAAATGGATTATACTCGCGCAGTTTACTTAGTTCAGTCCAAAAACCTTTTTTGTTAATTAAGAAAAGAAGCCCAATACAAAGACATCACATCCCCTTTCACTGATCAGGTATATAATTTAGTACGAATAGTAGTTGCTAAGTTGAATAGTAGCTGCAATAGTTTCAAGCTACACTCAGAAAAATAACATAATGCATATATATCCATCAGTGCCAAAACAGCACATACAGTTTGCAATGCGTTTAAAATGACAATTTCAGCATCATTCAATAAGCTTTTATTATAATAAAATGAATAATCTACCTTTCTTATGAAATACAAGTTTTGCCATATTAGTTTATAATGTTTTGGACCAGAGTTGGTTGCTTTCAACATGGCGGCCAAGATCCGGAAGTAACATGTGCCGGCACAAAAACTTCAAAGGTTCCGACTCGAGTGAAGCTTCTGCCCTATTTCTATTTTGTGGCTCAGCATAAAGAAGATTGTGGGTGCAACTTCTTGCCTTCCAGTTCACAGCCAAAACCCAATGCCTTTCAAGTATTAATGCAACATGCACGGAATGCTGCCTCAGATGACATTCCCGCAGAGATGCCTGAATCTACAAACACGGACAAACTGCATAACACAATGTTATTATATTTGACAGGGAATAAGTGTAATTTTCCTGGGAACATTGAAAATCGTGGAAAAACATTTGTACAAATGGAGTCATTAGATGAAACGCCAAATCAGCCATCTGAGCCAAGTTTGCCAAAACAAATAGACATTCAAGCCCGAAACATTGTTCACTAACTCTCAACACAGATCGACACAGACAACCAATAAACAAGTGAGAAGATCAGTCAAAATGCAGACAGTTATGAACAGTAATAACAGAAGTTGATGTGGAAAGCATTAAAAGCACAACTGGGGAAGAATCCATAACATCACACAATGACTTTATACCAGTCGAGATTTCATACTCTGAAAGCAACGAAAGCAGCAAGTAACTTGATTCGGACAGACGTACAATTCCAGTGGAGGCGAAACCCCCACAGGACCAGATCAAATTTATTGTATACATTTGAAGAAGCTATTCTGGATGTTTTTGGTAAATGTAACGAGTGTGGTTCCAAATGTATTGTGACAATGGAAAACCAGATTGGCTCATCATGCAAAATTTGCAGCTTGTGTAGAACTGAAAACAAACATTACTTGAACTTACTTTAAAATTTTGTTATATGGCACATTAGTCACAGGGCATCTTAGAATTTAATTTAATTAACTTTGCCAAGTAACATGCAACATTTAACAGTACTGATTTACAACAACATATAATATGTGTTCCATTGGCAGGGTGCACGCAACAGTTTTCACCAATTACAGCAGCCCCATGAACTATGCTAATATTATATGTCAACTAACACAAATCTAATAACATCACAATATTTGACAGGGCAGATTACAAGACTTGTTACAAGTGTCAATTTCATTAAATTTATTCGAGAAGGCAATAAAACGACCACCCAAACAAGAACAAGGCAAGAAAACAGTAGGTTTGGTCAGGATTTTCAGACAAGCCAACTATTACAGCTGGGGAACTTTTTAACATCTCTAGCCCTATCAGCCCCCCAACACCCGAATCGCAGCATGATGAAGATGTAACCTGCCAATTCAAACGGATGGGAAAACTAAAAGGTCTGAAACTTGGTAGTCTAAATATCAATAGTCTATTAAAAAATATTGAACATATTCGTTATATTTTATCACAGTATTCCTTCCACATCTTTGCTATTAACGAAACAAAAATTGATTTATCAGTAAATGACTCTGAAATAAGTATACCAGGTTATAAACTAGTTAGAAGAGATAGAAATAGAAATGGAGGTGGTGTTGTAATATATGTTCAAGAACATCTCTCCATTTTGGTTAGAAATGACTTAGTTCCAAATAATCTGGAAATGATCTGTATCGAAATTAATCAACCTTTCAACAGGTCATTTCTAGTTAGTACATGGTATAGACCACCTAATTCAAGTACGGATGTATTTGATGCATACGATATTTTTCTTCTTAATTGTGATGCTGAAAACAAAGAACTAATCCTATTAGGAGATATAAACTGTGATGTTGCTAAATCCCCACCAGAAGCACATACAATTAGATTTCAATCTATAAATTCATTATATAACATGGCTCAGTTAATAGAAGAACCAACCAGGGTTGCGAAAACATCTGCTACTATAATTGACCTTATTCTGACAAATGTTCCTGAAAAAATTTCTCATGCTGGCGTCTTTCACGTTGGTATATCAGATCATAGCCTAATATATGCAGTTCGCAAATTCAAACCACTTAAACGAAGGCCGACTATTAAAAAAGTTCGTAATTTTAAACACTTTTCTGAAACAGAATTTATATCCGACCTAACCAATATTCCTTGGCAAACTGTTTTCACAACAAGTGATCCAAACTTGAGTTGGAATAAGTGGAAGGAACTTTTTATCGGAACACTAGATAAACATGCTCCTGTTAGACATATAAGATCAGGGAAACACACCACTCCGTGGATGACAGCGGAAATAAGGTCAGCTATGAGAAGAAGAGACTACCATAAGAAAAAGGCCATAAAATTGAAATCTGATTCACATTGGCATAATTATAAGAGTCTGCGTAATAAAGTTAATAAACTAATCCGTGTGACAAAATCTACTTTCTATATCAACAAAATATCTGAATGTGCAGAAACTAAGGATTTAAAAAAATGCTGGTCTACAATAAATTCCCTGCTAGGGAAACAAAATAAATCCAATTATATTAGTGAGCTCAAAGTTGGTGAAAATGTCATCACAGACCCTAATCTCATTGCGGAGCATTTTAATACACACTTCATCAACATTGGAGTGTACCCTGATAAATGATACGCCAAACGAATGTGGAGAAAATCTTTATTTCTCTGACACAAACATCCATTCCCAAACTAATAATAAATTTAATTTTTCTCTCATTAAGGTTGATAGTGTCCTCTGTAATTTGAAACACCTTAAAGCAAATAAATCCACTGGCCTAGATGCCATCCCAGCGAAAATACTAAAACCAGCTGCCCATATTATTGCCCCTTCCTTAACGTATATTTTTAATTTATCTCTTCAAAGCGGTATTTATGTTAACGATTGGAAACGAGCTCGAGTAATTCCTATCTTCAAATCTGAAGATAAAAGTAAATGTGAAAATAATAGACCCATTTCTATTTTGTCAATTGTAAGAAAAGTCTTTGAAAAAGAAGTGTTTAGGCAAGTGTATACGTACGTGAATGAAAGTAATCTTCTCTCAAAGTATCAATCTGGCTTTCGGCCACAACACTCAACCTTATCAGCCCTCATTAAAATATGTGACGAAATCTTAAATAACATGGACGAGGCGAAAATAAACTGTATAGTATTTTTAGACATACGGAAAGCTTTTGATTCAATAAATCACAATATTTTATTAAGTAAAATAAGATCCAACTTTGGCATTAGCGGTAATGAATTACTCTGGTTTGAATCATACCTAACGAATAGGGAACAACAATGCGTCGCTAATGGGATACTATCCTCCGTTGGAAAATTAAAATGTGGGGTCCCCCAGGGGTCGATCCTGGGGCCGTTGTTATTTTTGCTCTACATCAATGACCTACCACAATGTCTCCAAAAAACCACGCCGGGTCTTTATGCTGATGACACGGAAATTTACGCGTCATCACACAATGTAAATGATCTTATTGACAACATAAATTATGACCTAAATATTGTTACGCAATGGATGGAGAATAATAAGCTACAAATTCATCCTAAGAAATCTAAATGTATGTTTATTGCATCCCCTTATAAAATTAAGAATATACCTCAAGGAATACCAATATTAATTAATAATGTTCCTGTCCCAAGATTAAATTGCTACAAATGCCTCGGTGTCACTTTGGACGAAAAATTGAACTGGGAACGTCATATTTGATATGATTATTAAGAAAGTCAATGCAGGCATTGCAGTAATTAAACGTATGAAAACCTATGTTCCTCAGGAATTCTTACAAACAGTTTACAACGCCTTAATACAACCCTATTTTGACTACTGCTGTCAATTGTGGGATACCTGTGGAATCGTCCTAAAGGAAAAACTACAAAAATGTCAATCCCGAGCTGCTAGAGTAATAACAGGAGCATCTTATGATATTAGGTCGGCCGATGTCCTTGCAACTTTGGGGTGGCAAACTCTCGACAATAGGCGAAAATACTTGAAATCCATTTTTATTTACAAAATCTTAAATAATGAAACTGCTCCAAACCTGAAAGAAAATTTTTTGAAAATAAGTGATTGTCCAATTACACACCAATTAAGAAATTCTCAAACAGATCTGGTAATTCCATTCCTAAAATCACAATTTAAGAAAAAGACCTTCAGTTATAGTGGAGCAACTCTTTGGAATAACTTATCAATTACTGCTAAACAATCCAATTCTTTGAGTTGTTTCAAAAGATTAATGAAACTACATTTTCGAAAACCATAAGTATGTAAATAGTTTTGTATGTTTGTTATTTATTTATGTTTGTTATTTGTCAAAATAATCATGTAAATAGTTTGTATTATGTATATGTATTAGTCTTATTCTTACACGTCCCCTATGGAAACCATCAAAAGATGTTAGGGCTAACGTGTTTAAATAAATTTTTATGTATGTATGTATGTCCTTGGATCATCCACGTCGAAAACATCTTCCAGCGCTAACTTGTAATACTTAGAAAGTCCGTTTTTGAATTGTCCTAAACTAATGTTATTGCTTGTCAAACTCTTTGGTAGCACATTCCATAATCTCTTTGTTCGGTTGAGAAATGACCTTTGGTAGGTGGTGGTCTTGCATTGTGCCGTTGTAATTGACAGATGATTGGGATCAGACGACCTGGTTTCTCTTCTGTTGTTATTGGGTGACGACTATTAATTTATTGTCAATGGTCATAATGCCATGCGTTAATTTGTAGAAGGTGTAGAAGGAATACCATATCTAGAAATTCATGCCAGTAGCACAATGGAAGGAGGTCTAAAAGTGCAAGTCTCTGGCTGTAGGTTGTGTCACAGCAGAAGGGCAGATTTAGGATGTACTTTGTTGCGCATCTTTGAAGTCTCTCCACGCATTTGATTTTGGTCACTGATTGTGGTGCCCAAATTTGAGATCCATAGCAGAGCTGGGAACAAACAAGACATAAATATAGTCTGTAATGTTCTGTACTTTTCATTAAGCCACCTATCTAAGGAGCAAACGCATTTATCCCATTCTCTGCCCTCTTCCACGAACACTCTGGCGCACGAAACTAGCTGTATTTTAAATAAATCATATTTGTTAAACTTGGTGTTAAATTGCAAAAGCCGAGTCCCAATGGGGCAAATATATGAGCTTTTGCCTTTTATGCTAATGCCATTGTACACAAACTCGTCCTCAACATTAACTACATAATAGGCACTTAAATTTGGAACATAGTAGAAAAAACCCTCTTCTGACAATAACCAAAACCAAATAACAATTACAGTAAGAGACACAAATGGCAAATTATTAAAATATTGTATTTCGCCAGTTGGTAAATGCTTTCCTATTCTTGGCATGCCACTAAATGAATAATACTTATTTTTTTTGCAACCAAACCACGTTTTTATTATAAAAAAGCCCTGCTCGTTTATAATGTCACTGCTAATCCATAAATCATCAGGAACCAGCACAACCTCAGACGAAAGCAAAATAAGCTTAAACCGACTGGGTATTAGGGTGAGCTGCCAGTTTTGTATGTTAACTAAACCAAAGGTATTAGAATGTGATTCAAATACCCTAAATGCTGTTTGTTCATACCCATCGACTAAATCCTTAAAATTAAATAGCGGGGTGTAATCAACAAAAGTTTTTGCCACTTGCAATGCTTCAACCATTGGCTTATCGTCTTCGTCGCTTATGTCAATTTGGCTAAACAGCACATAAACACCAAATCTACTTATCGGCCCTACAAATTTAACACCACACCTAGTATCCTTAACAGATAAAATAAAATCATTAGTTAGCTGCTCATTGAAAAACACATAGTTTATTTTAAATACATCGTTTTCTCCTTCCAGTTTTTCTATATTATTTACTATTTTATTATTTTTATAAAACATATCAGGTAACTCATCAACACTAGCAAAAGTACCACAACATGTCATATTCAACCGACCCCAATTTTAATATTTTAATGGATCAAATAACCAAAAATGCCCACATTGGTGTAAAATTATGCACTGACCTATTAGCATTGCAGTGTACTGGTATTAAATTAGAAAAAAATTCACAATTAAAATTAACACCAATAATAAACAAAGCTGGTGGTGCTAAAGCCGAATCAGAACCAGAAGACACCAGCGATATTCTTAGTGTAAAACCAGAACGCATACTTTTAAAAATAACACCAAGTTTTATTTCTTCTATTAATTCATTCAAACTACAAAAAAACACTGGTGAGTTTGGAACAATAACAACAAAAAATTTACGTGAAAACAATTTGCAAATGGTATCATTAAGTAGTGAAATAAGCAAAAAGTACAAAGACGAAGAAGAGAGCGACAGCAACAGTGACAGCGACAGCAACGACAGTGATGGCGAATACAATAGTGAATACGATGAAAAAACACAATACATAGAAACACATGATGAATTGTCCTTTGGGAATGATTCTGATTCTAGCTTTTGAAAAAAATAATCAATCACATTATTTTTATTACTTTCTTATTAAAAAATGCCCTTATCGCAGCAATAACCTCTTCCCCCCCCTCCTTTTCTTTCTTTATATATGTATATATGTAAGGTAAAAATAAGAGCTTAGACATTGCTGCTATATCGGCTTTTTTGGTTAAAAAGTACGACCAAGTATTGGCATTTATAAAAGCATTTGCTATAAATTTGGTGTTTTTTATTAATACTATTTTTTTACCAACAATATTAATTAGGTACGCTGTGGCATATTTATGAAAACATGAACATAAAAAACAAACAATCAACATTAAAACAGGAAATACTAAGTGCTTTGAGTTTGCAGTATGTTCCTTTACTGATAAATAAGGAAATAGCCACTAAGTTCTTTAATAGCTATGGCCTATATTTATATACAATTAATTCGCACTCTGTAATTGACACTATTAGGGTAATACTTTCAAATTTAGTTAATAATTTAATTAATATTGAAATTTCGCTACATGGTAGTACTATAATCATTAAAAGTAAGGGTGTTGTAATAGCAATTATGCTAAAATGCTACGAACCAGCTATTAAATTTATAAACCTAAGCAGCGAATTATCAATAATAGGAATGAGTGAACTAATCGCTAAGGTACTGTGGAATGTTCATACAAATAAAACCACATTTAGTAATAGGCAATTACTGTGCAGAAATTCATATATATTCTCACTGATTAAAGATCCATTTAATATAGATTTTATGCCATCTACCATACTAGGCGATAAGGACTGTGTGTTTACCGGGCAAACAGCATGTTCAATAATTACTAACACGTCATATTCAAAAATAGACATTTACGTATACTGCGATTTAACAACTTTTATAAGTAATCACCCAGAAATCGTTTTTAAGGATTCTAATAATTATATGAGGCCATTAATAGAAGGCCTTGGTTTTTTTAGAATAGAAGGAATGCACGGGGATAAAATAGTCCGTGTTTTTTATGACCAAAAAAACACATTTATACCAAAACTGGAAGTAAGAACTTCATTACGAATTAAACTAGTCAATGTTCAAATAACACCATTTGTTATAACTGTATATATAATGTTTTGGGACTATGTAATATTACACAATAAGGGTCTTTATTTTTCGGCAAATATTGTGCGGCAAAAAATAAAAACAATAGCCGAAAGCTGGTCAATAACAGAAGCCGAATCTGACCTAGAAAAAAACATAAGGAATTTTATCTATTATCCACAAAAAAGCTTTTCAGAAATCATTTCAAATTATTAATACTGTTGTATTTTTTCTTTATATTAATTTCTTTTTATTTCTTTTTTTCGATGTGTCTGCTACTGCCTTTTCTTTTTTAAGCGGCAACACATGCATGGCTATTGTAGGGGTTTGTTTTTCGCTGGTTCTAATGTCATTATAACTCTTATATTTTCGGATATAATTTTCATTGTGTCTGCTTATGCCGCTGTAATATTCAAAGTAAATAATTGGTGTAATAGGTGTTAATTCTGACACATAAGCGATTACTTTGCAAGGTTTTGGTTCTCTTTTAGCCATTTATAGTTTTAATTGTTCTCATAAGTGAACATCTTATTTTATGTTAACTTTTTTTTCAAAAAACAGGAATAGGATTAATTCTAACCATCTGCATACAACCACTACCACTGGCTTTTCCTTCATTTTTGTCCCTTCCCATTGCTCGTATTTGTATCGGATCAGATTTAAACATCCATCTAAAGAATAATAGGCCAATTATGGCTGCACTTATAAGAACTACCGGTAAAATTATCATAAACGTTTGCATTGACAAACCAGTAGATGTTAGTAGATTGTTAAATCCTGTCATAAAACCAGTGGTCTTTGAATCCCCTTTAATATCAAGAGCCGTTAATATTTTGCTTCCAAATTTTGACGACTCAATTGAATTTGACACTACATCTGTTATTAGTTTTGTGTTTTCCGTTAAGGATATATGACCAATTACCACTTTTCCTTTCCCATGAATTCTTACTGTTTGTTTTCTTATCGATTCTGTTAACTCATTGATTATTTTGTTTACCTCCACATTTGTAGTGAATGTATTTTCAATTATTGATGCTATCCTTACATGGTCAGCTGTGCCACCCAACGAGGTCCCACTCGCTGATGATTTTAAAAAACTACTGATCTTTTCTGTTATAGTGTTTAAAACAGATTGTTGCATTACGTAGTTTTGCATCATATTAATATTTAACACAGCTGACCTTGAAACACTGATCGAATCTACTATTATTGTATCTCCTTCTATGTCCACTTTCTGTTTAGACACTGTGGTTGTGCAAGAAGTAGTTATGTCGTTGGACACCACCGATGCAGTTATTCTATTTATTTCCTTGCTTAAGAAGGACGCACTGCTGGACGACCCCATGGCCGTGTTTAAGTTACCAAATGATATATCTCATTTGTTTAATAAAAACGATAAAGATATAAAAATTTATGATATTGGTGGGTCCTTTACTACTATATTAGCTGATAAATTAAATTATTTAGTTGTAAATGAGCCATTTCACATAAATACAGAAGACTTTAGGCATGCCCATTATACTGTATTAGTATATAACAAGTTAGATTTTAAGCTTATTTTTAACAGCACCGATGACGAATATCAGGATTTAATAGCTCATGACATTAGGTATGTACGTAAAGACGATGTGTCGTTCTATTTAATATTTCAACTAAAAACACTATCTAACCAAACAAACCTATCAAAAAAATGTCTATTGGCAAAACACAAAATAGATGAAGACAACCTAAGTGTATATGAAATACCTGCTAGTACAAGGCTTTTGTTCTGGGCAAACATCGACACAAAAACCACACCAACTAATACAATAGGAATTAAAACACCCGTACCAGTTGGTAACTTTGTTCATGAAATAAATAAAAATGGTAGTATTTACTTATCTTCCCTAAATAGGTCTTTTAAAATAGCAGGCGGCCCTTACTTAACCAATGCTCAAGGGACAATGCCAGTGTCCAAAAAAATAATTAAATGCGGCATTTCAGCAAGTGATATTGGTTCTGACGAACTAGTATCAGACCATAATATAGACAATAGGTTACATTTTTGGTCAAATACAGGTATAAAATTGTCCGATGTGGGCATTGAAAAGGAGGACTTTAATTATAAAAATCGACTTTGGGTTATTTCTTCATCTACTAATTTATTAACAGACTTTGGTCTTTTTTCAGAATATCCAACTATTATTAGATCATGGGATAGTCCTATTTCTATTTTATGCAAATCAACAGTTTTTCCAAGCAAAACTAGCAAATTGCTAGAAAATAAGCACATGCGTTTAGGCAATACGATTGGTGTCGCTACGCCAAACAGCGAAACAAAATTCACGGATTCACTAGGATCACCTATTAATTTAAGAAAAATAAACACACACGAATTTGTGCTATTTTGTATAAACATTGAAGCCCCATTAAACTATGATTAGAAAAAAATGACAAATAACATGCTAATATAATATTTTTTTGATAATTATATTATTTTAATAATAATGGCGTGCCGATTATATGACGGCAAATACACTAGTAAAATAAAACTTAACCCATGCATTTGGTTGTCAGACTTGTCGTATAAAAATGAACATTGTGTTAGGTCGATAATAGCTATAGATGTTGGTTTTAGTAACTTAGGCTATTGCGTTTGTAACCAATTTATGGTGCCCAGAAGAGAAAAACACAACCAGTATATAAATATTCAAAATACAAAATGCGAGCTTATTTTTGAAACAGTACATGTTTGCACAAAAAGTCAATCATCTGATACCAATAATACCAGTGAAAAAATGAATAGAACCATTAATTCAATACTAGGATTATGTAAGGCCAAAGTCAGAGTGCTTTGTGTTGAACGACAAATAAACGGATTAGCTGAAAATTGTTACTTTGAGGGTTTAATCACAGGGATCTTAAAAGCAAATTGTCCTGATGCTGAATTGTATACACCGCAAATATCAAAACAAAGTGCATTTCAAATATTAGACATTCCGTTAGATAAATACCCACGAGACAGCATCAAACGAAAGCAGTATATGGCAGACGTAATACTTCATATACTAAAAGACGAGGGCTCTTTTATAAACACAAATGGCATTAGGAGAATACAAGAGCTTATAAAGGAAAAAAAGTACGATAGCACCGATGCCATATTTCTATTATTTATTGCACTAAATCGTGATCATAACTCGCTGATGCAAATGCTTCGACCTCTATGAATTGATCTTCGTCCATTTCCCTAAATAGCTCATTTATTTCATTGTCTGTGTCTTCAATTATTTCGTCTAGTTTTACATCCAAAGTGCTATTTATAGGTTTTTGCCTTCCCCATGTTAAACAAGCCGAAAAAATCAAATTAACATTTATTCTTTTACTAATAACAAATTCTGTAAACTGCTTGGCTGTTCTAATTTGATCTATTAGCTTAGAGCAGTTATTTCCGTCATATATAGTTCTTAAAATATGTTTTAGCGAAAATAAAGCAATACTATTAGAGCAACCCATAAGTTTTTGCTTATATTCATTTAATGTTTTATTTTTTTCCTTTTCTGGTATTTGGTCAGTGGCCAATTTATTATTATATTCTTTATTTTTTTTATCTGATTTTGCCATTGGTTGTATTATATTAAATAATACATGCCCATAATTGTCAATAAAATCATCGTTTATTGTGGGAAACCCACATAATGCACATTCTTCGTTGTCAGTTTCGTGCTTATACCTAATACCGTCTTTGTCTCTGTGGTAGCATCTAAATGCAAAAAACACACGCAAATGCCTAATAATGTGCTTATTTTTTTCATCATTTTTATATGTTGTGTCGTCCTTAATAGACTCTACACTAAACAAAGCACCGCATAGTGAGCAAACAGGGTCATTTAAGCCAAGATCGCCCCACTGATGTTTTAAGCAACCATTAGGATTGCCTATAATGTAAAGGCTTTTTCCAACATGCTTATGAACTTTTTTTGGCGGCTTTTTTTTGATTGTTATATTGTTTTGTTTTTTTTCCATTTGTGTGGTTATCATATTAGGGTTAATGCCATTATTTGTGGCCAAAACACCTTCTTCGCTTAGGCCTGTTTTGTCTGATATAATACTAATTAAATCAAACGATTCCTTTGTTAATTTAATATGCTCTTTATCCTTTTGAGCCCACACACCATACTTGGTTCGTCCTTTATTTGTTTGGTTTTTATTTCTATCTGTGTATTCCTGAACAGAATTAAGAGCATCATTAAATAACATAGGCAAAATACTATTTTGGTCAAATTGATTAAGAGTTAAAAAATGAGTAATGTGCAACTTAAGTGAAGTGTTAATGCTCGATTCTAGTTCATCAAAGGTCATTTGGCGTGCGTCTTTTGGGCCTTTTCTGCTATCGTCTTTTATTTTAATGTCCCCTGTTTCTTCTTTTGTTAAGTAAATAACACCAAACAATATCATGTAATATATAACATAAACGCGCAATAGCAGCTCGCTATTTGCACCTAACATGTCATGCTGAGCAGATTTTGTCATTATTATATTATAAAAAAGCTCTGTGTAGTTATTTGTAATGCATTTATTAAGTTCGCTATTAGGCGCCAAAATTTGCATTAACGAAAATGTAATTAGATAAAACGTTTTTGTAACAGCCGGCGAATAAATATCATAAATACTTGCTGCCTTATTATTGTCTTGAGTACTAATAAATAAACCACAATTCATGCAGTATCTGTTTTTATTTCTTAGCACCGTCCACTCATCCACCGGTTTGTCATTATGTACGTATAGCACATGAATGCAGCATATTTCGCCCATACAATACCCACATGTAATTCCGCTTGTAAATTGCTCATCTGTGTCTTTTATCATTGACTTAACCTCTACCCAATTGTTCTTATCTATTGTGTTGTGTTTGCATGCTAATATTTTGTCGTAATCCTGTTTGCTGATTGACTCATTTCTTATGTTTATATACTTAACACCTAGTGTACTAAGTTCATCACCAACAGTGTTGTGTGCCAATCCCCTAAAATATGGGAATTTGTCTAAAGGCTCATGGTTATATAATGTTATTTCGTCGCCGTTGATTTTTGGTGTCAGTGGTGTAGGCTCTGATGTATCATTGGCCAAACCAACGGATTTTATAATCCATAAGGCTTGGTTTAGTGGTAGTTGTCTTATTGGCCATGTGTGATCCGCCGGTGGGTTTAAATTTTTAAAAAAATCTGGGTCACTTATTAAGCCCTTTTTAAACGGATCTGTTGGCTCATTGTTATGCGTAATAAACGACAAATCTTTATTTGATGTAACAGTATTAATTGGTATAATATTATGCATTATTTGTCTTGTATTTTGATACAATGTTGTGCCATCTTGTTTAATAACGGAGTCCCCACAGTTTACCATTAAGGTAGAACCACCATTAAGAACTTCGGCAAATAGCCTTAATGTATTTGGGTGTACCGAATTAACACTATACTTAAACCTTTGCTCATTAGACATCTTTAGCACTAGAAAAAAAAATAAAGTTCAGCATAGCATTATCAAAAATGCCTATATCGCAGCGACATTTGGCCCGAATTTATATAAGTATTATAATATATATATATATATATATATATATATATATAT